AACACAAATATTTTAAAAAAAATTTTGTCACAAAAAAATAATATATAAATTTATCACAAAAGTTTAATAAACAATATTATTATTTTAATACTAATCAATTTTGATTAAAATTAATCAAACTCGATTAAAATTAATCAGGCACAAACTAATCTTAAGTTTTATTGAGTTTCACATGTTTTATAGTACAAAAATTTATTTTCTTAAATATTTTTTATCGATGTGAAATATATTTATAGTGCAAAATCTTATTCTTTTATGTGTTTTTTATCGATGTGAGACGCATTGATTAGAGAAAATTGATAGTTTTTAGTGACGAAATATATTTTTTAGTGCTGAATTATTTAGTTATCATTTAATGTGTAAGGTATATGTGACCAATATTAAAATTTTGTCATAATTGTAATGCATTATAATGATGATTTTTATTGACAAAATTTTATTTTATCTCTATGAATATTTTTTAGTGACGAAATATATTTTTTTATGATAAATTTTTTTATTTATCATTAAATATGTATGTATTTATGATTAATTTTTTAGATCTATTACAATTATGATAAGTTATAGTGATAATTTTAAAATTTATCATAAATTTTTATCATTAAAAATTATTTTTCTTGTAGTGATTCCTTTTCATCGCAGATGGGACCTCCAATTCCAAATAAATGGAAGATAATTTCTACTTGCTAAGTCGGAATACAAGAAAATAGTAGATAGAGAAACAAAAAAGACAAAAAAAAGGAAAGAAGCAAGCACCTTCGCAGCTTCGCTTTTTTCCACGGAAAAAAAATTAGAGCCCAGATATGAACATGGGGATGCCTAGTGTGTCTGTATGCCCACACCCCTTTATCGGGAAGTTTTGAGCTGTAAAACAACTTGCAACCAAGGTTTTTAAAACCGGACCGGACCGGCCGGTTGAACCGGTCGGACCGGTACCCGGTCATGAAAACGGTTCGGTTCACATAAAAAAACCGTTTTAGGTCAAAACCGGTTAAAACCGGTCAAAACCGGTAAAATCGGTAAAAACCGGTCAAAAACCGGTAAAACCAGTAAAAACCGATAGAACCGGTGAAACCAGAAAAACCTCCGGTTCAATTTCTCATGCAATCTTCTTTCAATTTTTTCCAATTTCACCCTTCCCATTCCTTTCTTATACCCATTTTAACCTTTAACTTTAACAAA